ACTCTTTTTCATACTATTGATACGATTGGACTCGTATTGCCAATGCACTGTTATTGAGAAATCAATATTTTTGAGTGCTAGATCTAGATCTAAATTGTCAAAATATTTTTTTTCTCCTCAAAATTACTACTTTTTGATGAAATTACACAAAAGTGCCACTCAAGACATGTATAGGTTTATTCCAAATACAATTCTGAATAATTCCATATAAGATACGAGCGGTTTTTTCTGTTTGTGATCGTTTTTCAAGATTATAGAATTTTTTTTTTTAATTTCAATATCGGATGTTATGTTCAAAATGTACAAATACTATGGAATGTACATAAATAACTGCAAACTTTTCAATATTTTCCAGTTCTGTATTCATTTATGGTTATTTTGATGTATCATTTGACTAGGTGCAAACATATTTTTTGAGTTTCACCAAAGATTATAAATTTTTTATTTTCAAATTTTATCCGCATCCAATCAAAACTGTGTTGCATAATCGTCTCTTACAGGAACCAAAGTTGAAAAATACAAAAATAAACATTACAGATGTATTCTACAAACCATACTGAAAATATTGGTATATAATACATTGATATTTATTTTGAATTTGTGGCCCCTAAGACCTTTTAACTGCCCACTAGTCATCATCTCTTTCGCTCTCCCGAAAAAAAATTCGTCCACAAGCCGAAAATAATACGTAGCGAATGAGTTAACAAAGTGACTATTTCTCCAAACGTACGGGGAAATAAACTTGAACTCTATTTCTAGTAATGGTTTCCGTTTTGAGATTTTTTGTAAATTTGCGAGAGTTTGGGGTCATATTTCATTCTGCCATTATGCGAGGACTGGGAAGAAACATTTTTGCATAGAATTTAATTTCTAGAGCCAGAGATTTTTAGATCATGTCTGAATCTTCAGATACTTCAATTGTGGTTGGGGCAACGTTCTCGGACTATACTTTATTTGAAAAAATGCCTTCAAAAGGTGCTGCGAGAAAACAAGACTGCTCGACTTTGGCAGTAATCTATTTTGCATTTAGTCACCCCTAAAGCAAAAACTATATATTCACAAAAAATCCCTCTCTACGCATATGACCCCCCCCCCCCCCCTCCATTCACACCTTACCTTCACACACACACACTCATGAACTCTCACTCACACACACAGCCACTCCATTATTGAAATCTCGAGAACGGAAACCGTTCGGAGAAATAAAGTTCAAGTTTATTTTTCCAAACATTTGGAGAAATAGAGCCGGTTATTTGTTAAAACTTAATAAAGGACAAAATGCAAATTGACTGAATTCTCATGTGTTCAGTATGATTTTATTGTTTCAGTGATCCACAATAATGTGACAATGGATGAAATGAGGGGGAGCCTCCTAGAATTTTGCTTTCGTAGTCTATTTTGAGTGTCAAACTGTCTTTAATGTCTATGACCTAGTAGTGACTGACTGTTCCCAAGTTTTTGTCTTTGCTCTCCAAGTGGCTTCGTATGAGATCAATGATAGATTGTAATTTTATTCCAATGTAGGTTAAAGACTCTTTTCTAGCCAACACCAATTAAGTCATATGAGGAACACTATGAAATTAATGGTTCTTAGTTTTATAGTGAGTCAGTATTATTTCATGTGTCTCTGTATTTACTTTCAGCAGAGATATCATGTGATTGTTGACGTTGAGAGTATAGTAATGAATAGGAAAATGGAACAAAAGCTGTTGCAGTTCTGCAATAAAAAGAAGTCGGATAAATTACTCATTGTTTCATTCAGTGGACTTGAGTACCATTGTTGGTTTATAGATTATTTCTAGTGAAATAAAACCCTACTTTGAATTGTAAGTTGATGACTTTGAAAAAATTGACATTGAAGATTGTCTTCTTACTTTTATTTGAGGTAGTTAATGTGTATGTCACAGTTAGTTGTTTTTTTCCCCCGACTCTCGGGGGGGGGGGGGGGGGGGGGGGAGAGACAGCTAGTTTTCATGGTTACCACGGTTACGTCTTTTATTGCTCTTTATTTTTTTTTTTGTATTCCAAGGTTAGGACAGGAGAGGGAGGAGAGATGTCGATGAAGAGTTTTATCTATGTTAGCTTTAAAAGAATGGTTTTGATCTATGTTCATAATATTTTAACGAGTCTGCTCTGTTCAAGTAATTTTAGTGCAGTAATTTTTAACAGTCCAGAATGTCTTTTCGGGCTTTTTGTTGTTGTTGTTTCTGTAGTAGGCCTATAAGAAAGCGGGAACTTACACAGTATCTCTGAGTTTTTATCTGTTGATAATTTCTTTTTTCATATTTTGTTTCTGTTTTTTGTTCTCATGATTTGCATTAAATCCGTCAAAGAAAGGTTAGTCTTTCTTCTTTTCTTTCCTTTGTTTCTGTCTCGTATTTTTTTCTTTGCGCTAAATGACTGTTGTTATTCATTTCCTGCTGATGTGTTCTTTTCTTTCACTACTGATACTCAAGTCCGTCCTTTTAAAGCATAAAAGCAGAGCGTCCCAGTCCTTATCTTTTTTTATAACCCAGGGTTATGAAAATCGTAATGGGCTGATAGTATGTTTGTTTTTTGTTTGTTTGTTTGTTTGGGGTTGTTTTGTGGGGGGGGGGGTTGAGGGGTCAAGTTGTTATTATAATCATTTATAAGAGTGTTTGGCTCAGTTTAATTCCCTCCTTAACCTATTATAATGCTGGGGTTTTGGTTTGTATCCGGGTTGGCAGTCATGGATTTAACCCTTATCCTGTCATTGTCAAGAGCATTCACTTTCTACATTTTATTCCTGTACTGTTTACATCATTCACCACCCTGAAGTTCGTATCGAGAATGAGTCATTTCATATTCTTGGTGCACCTGAAAGAAAATAATAAAAATCGCAAGATTATTTGTAATCTTTTTCATAAAACGAAGACAGCTAGACTTTCTCCGATGTCATATTCCGACGTGCCAGGTATGAAATTGAATCTCTGTCGAAGTTCGTCCCCAATGGGCGCTTTAGCTCCGTGAGCCAGCATTTGTTTTGCGGATAGCATTTTGTTCTGGTGCGGAGTGGGGGGGGGGACGAGGGCTCCATCTTTGTCAGAGGCATCGACCGGTATTCTCGTAGTTTCAGCCCTCACAAACCCACAGTGCTGCTGGAATTTCGATATAGAAAAGGAAAGAGGGAGTCGGAAAATTATATCATTGATGGACGTCGCTCGTGAGATATTCTTTATGAATTCATAATCGTCGCCCCGCCTGACTGTGCTGTTCTCCAGAATTTGCACGGCTTAGTTGGGCGTCATTTTCTAGC